CCGCAGGGGGAGGTGCTGAAGGCAGAGAGGAAGCGGAGGGACGCGGACATCTTCGCTCCCCTAATTTCCTCCCTGCCTTCTGCAGCCATTTTGCACCAGCAAAGCCGAAGGGAGGTGTAAGAGTGGAGGGAGGGGGCGGGCTACAAGGATGAAGGGAAGAGGGTGAAGAGTTACGGAGAGCAAAGAGTCAGCCGTGGGAGATCCCGGCTGGTATGTCTGTGAAGACTGGCTCACGGCAGCAGCTGTCATCAGCAACATGGTGAAAAGGAAAAGCTCAGAGGGCCAGGAGCAGGAAAGCGGCCGTGGCATCCCTCTGCCCATCCAGACCTTCCTATGGAGGCAAACCAGGTGAGAGCAGCGAGCCCTGGTTCCTTGGGAATTTGTCTTTAGAACATCCATGTGTATGTGTGTCCATGTACCTTTCCACTTCTCCCTGTCCCGTTTCCCCCTCCCCCATCCCCACTTTTAAGAGGACTACTGGAGCTCTGGTACCAGAAGCAGAATCCCTCGGTGTTGCACTGGACTTGCAGCTTTGCTTGTATCTGTATTTGCAGCCTTTCTGGAAGTGTAATCTATGCTTTGAGAGGCCAGCATGCAAACAGATACGTCAAAGTCTCACCTTATTTCATTGGATTGGAGAGTAATGATATGTGAGGGGCAGGCTGAATGCATGTCTGGGGCTTTATGTTCCTTATGAATCCTGTCTGTCTCCCGTCTCAACAGGATTCTAAGCTGAAAACATTGCAGGGTCTTCAGGGAGATTGGAAGGTAGGAAGGCTGTGGCTGTGATTTAAGGCCTCAGTCATAAAATCGCTTTATTCCACAGTTTTACTGTCCTCCAAAAAAAATTATAATGCTGTAATAAGGTGACCTGATTAATTTTTTTAATAGGGAGCTCTGATCCCATTCTGGAGGGGAATGACAGCAGAGGGTGGGTGTTCTCTAGCTACAGGATACAGGCCTGCATTTCATCATAAGCCTTCCACATCAGCAGCTGTGGAGGGAAATAATTAATACAAAACAGACAAATGGATTCCTGGTTTAAAATACTGGAAAGGCAATGTTCAGAAATAGTTAACATATTTCAAACAGTATACTGAAAATCTTTCACTAAGGTAAAATGGCCGAAAACTGTCTGATGGAAGATTTTATCCATGAGGAACAGGACTTTCCTTGAGGGTGGATTAAGTACCTCTTGACGTATACTGATACGGGTCTTTTGTCTTCTAGAAAAGGTAACAGCGTTTTGTCAGATGTCATCAACAGGTATCTGAACATTGTTTTGGCCTTATGTCTTCCTTAACATTAAGTTTCTTAGCCTTTTCACCAACCAACATGAGAAAAATCCTAAAAATAACTAAGCAAAATCCATACCTGAAGTACTGGGGCTCTAATGCTTTTTCTCCCTTCCTTCAGTGCATTTTTAAGACCTAAACTGGGGAAACAATATGAAGCTTCCTGTGTGGTATGTACATGTTTCTCTTTTTCAACTCTTATTAGTAACTAACTTTTCATGCAACTTGATCTGACCATGGTGGCTGATCAGCAAGCTTCTCAGCTTACGCCAGAAGTGGATTTAGTCCATTCAGCTTAATTTTGTACTTGTATCACATGAAGGATTTGAAACCTTGTCCCATCTAGAGACTTTGGATATCATGTGTATCTCTAGACACAACAAAAATATATTGATTTGGATATTAGTAATTGGACTAATTAGTAAGTAAATAAAGTAACTAATGGTATGGGCAGACTGAGCTACAACAATCTGAGTCACAGCTTGGGCACAGATAAGATGAGTATTTTTATTTCAAACCAACTGCATCTTTGTGACCTGAAGGTTATGGTGCCAGGCTTTTATAGAAACCCCAACACCCAAAAGGGAGAGAGGAGCTTAATGTTTCAGGAGATGGGGAGAATGAAGAAATGTGTGTACAGTGAATGCAGAGACTGTATTGATACCTGGAAAGGGATCCAAGATTACCAAACACCTCTTAAAATTATGTTTAGCTCTTGCAGATATGGAAACATGGAATTTTGATGCAACTTTTAACTAGTTTTCATGAAGATCCAATCCACATCCGCCCCTTGGATGAAGGAGAACTTGATTCTTCTCCAGTTCTTAACATTATAATTAAATTATGGTAGAAAGCTTTCAAAGGTGGGACAGACTTTTGAGCCATTGATGGGATACAGCCTGAGCTGCTTCATTAGCCACCTTCTTTTGCTCATCAGTTTCCTATCCTTGCCAGCGCACAGAAATATCTGCCCACACCAACACCACCTGTATTATACAATGGGATAGCAGAGTGCTGCCTGCATACGTGAGACAGGGTTTCTGGAACTTGACAGGTGGTTGGCTTGTCTTCTGAAACATAAAGCTGATTATGGTATTGACACCACGGTATTGACTAGTGTAACTAAAAATACTGTGCACCTACTATATAATCTGTTCTCTTTAAATTCTCTAGCCATAGTTGTTCTAGGCATGTCTATAGGCTGTCAACTGTCTGGAAATGCATATGACACAGCATTGTGCAGCATTCTATTATTATTTTGAGCTTGAAACTTGCTGCAGTAGAATTTGCTGCATACCGTGCATTGAGGAAACAGATGCTGGAGGCGTAGATTCAATGAGTACAGCATCTGGCCTGCAAGAGCAGATTGCCATTGCTTCTTTGCGCTTTGCTTTATACTATAATACTTGACCAAAAACCTTGCCCTTTTGTAGCTTTGCTTGCCTTACCTGAACAATCACACTGATTTCAATTGGTTTATGCCTTTAACTGAAGATAAATACTTCTCCCACCACCACCATTGTCTTACACTGTCCAAATGCTCTTGTGCCTCAGTATGGATTTAATGTTCTTCTGCCTCCCCATTCTGAAGTTCTTCTGCAGTGACAAATTGTCATTCCTAATGTGCAGGAATCAAAGCTGTAAATGGCCTCGCAGGAATGTATGTGAGTGCTGTACAAAGCTAATGCATTTTTTTGGGTGAGGGTAAGGATCTCAATAATAAGTTTTAAATTGTTTTACATGGGATTGCGTTGGGCGTGGAAGTACCTACGCTTTTCTGGGGGGGCTCCTGCAAATTCAAAGTTTACCTCTTTTCTAGTATTTTACTTGTTTTTGCAAATGCAGTAACAAGTGTTGTTGTTATGAATGATTAAAGGATAGTTATAGAACGAAGTTTAAAAGGACACCACCTTTATTTTATCTGACCCATAGACATGGTTGCAGAAAACTGAGGTTTTGGACATGGGAATTTTCTGTAAATGAAGTACTTGGCATCTGTGTTTCATTGCTTGGCAATGTTTGTGCTATTACTATTTTTAGTGAACAATTGAGCCTTACCATCACTTGTGCTATGAACTCCTAGATTAATGTTTTTAGGTCTTTCTAGGAACTCTTCTCTACTCAGAGGACCTTCCCCAGACTGACAATACTGTCTGTCTGCATTTCAAGTTCTTTCCAGCCAGTCTGAAGTGACTTCAGCAATGGTCTCTTCTTTCCACCACCATGGAGCCTGAGCTTTGGAAGAACAGGGCAGTAAGGTTCCCTCCAAGGACAGAAGTCCAGCTCAAGAAGCATTAATAGTTTTTCTGTGCCACTGCCAGGGTCATTCTGTACATACTAGGCTAAGCACTGAGCCCTGCTCTCCTAGCTTACTGGGTGGGGGTTTTTGTGGGTTGGTTTGGTTTTTTTTGGTTTGGTGTTTTTTTTTCCCCAAGTGAGATCCTCTAGGGCTACTTCCCTGGAGGAGACCTGCAGCTCGTCTGGCACTCCTGAGAGGATGGAACAGGCAGGTGCTGAACTTCCCGAGGTCCTGGCTGTCTACTGGGGATGGGGGCCTGGCTGACCCCTTGATGCCTTATGCAGCTTGCTGCAGGTACAGATCCCTTGGGCTTAGAGCAGGGAAAGTTCATGTGACTCTAGCAAAGCTGTATAGGAAATCATGGCAAAGCCCAGGCAGAATCTATCCTGTCTTTTACTGCTTGTCTAGGCTTCTTCAGGCAGCTACCTGTTCTTGTTCCAGCAGCAAAGTAACACACAGGCTGACTCTGGTCACAGGTATTTGGCAGCCCCTTTTGGTTCTTGGTGGAGCAGAAGGTAAAAGGAGAACAGCAGCAATGCAAAGGCAGCCAGACAAGACTGACTGCCACTCCCTGTTGAAAACAGAAGGTATCACCAAGCTAAAAGGAAAAATGCTTGTGTAAGTGGCCCTGAGGGAGCTGAACACACACACACACAGAGCACCGCTGAAAGGATGCCCTTTCTCAAGCCAAGGCAGAACACTGACTTTCCTCATTACCACCTTGGCAGATGTTCTTTATTGTCCTTTGGCACGTGGGGTGTTACAGGCACAGATAGCCTGCTATAAGTAGGCAACTGTTTTCTTAGCCAAGCAACGACCCTAAGACTGCAGCTCCAGACATATCCATAGCATGACAATATCTCTTTTCTGACTGACTTACAGGGAGCTTACTTCAGATGTTCTCATTCAGCCTTCTTGTTGAAGCACGTAACTCCTCTCAGCTGTAGCAGTGGTTGCTTAGTTCATGGGGGATGAATATTAGGTCTTTCATCTTAATGTCTGCATATTCTCTATAGCAGATCCTGAAAGTTGGAATAGAGCCATAGCAGACCAAAAGGGAGGTTCTACAGGAGCAAATGCTAACACAGGGCCTTGCATCTTGAATGTCTGGTGTGGGCAGAAGTTGCTGTGAGCTGGACCTTTATGGACTACTCCAGGCAAATCCCATAGGAACACTTGTCCCAAGAACTGCATGTTCTTGTTGGGCTGCTTCTGGCAGTTATCAGTGCGGCGATTTATGCCAACTAAGTCCTGTGCTGTCAGCGCATGCACGGGGCAATTGTGTATTGAACAGTGTTTGTAGCACACAGGGACACTCAGTGGTTTCATTATACTAGCCTTTGTGTTAGCATTTTTCTGGCAACATGCAGTACTTCTGTCTCAGATGCTTGTGATCGCATATGCTGTTCCGGAAGCTAATCTTTCATTGTGGTACAGAAATATATTTAGCTTTCTGCTCAGGCCAGCAAAATACAGAGGAATCTGGTGCCCAACTGTGTAGGAAAAGCTTCATGTGGCTCAGACGCCAAAAATGTTGAGCAAGCCTAGTGTAAAAGGGTAATTGCAGACTCCTTGGCTTTCTCTTGAATTTCTGAAGTATGCAGAATGTGGGCCAGAGGTTCCAGAAGGCAGTTGTTGGGGCAATATCTCCCTGATGCCATTGAAGTACCTGCAAATAAGACCTTGAAAGGAAAGCCCGAGAGCAACAATGTGTCTTCCGTCATGCTTCAGAATAGTGTTGCTTCTCACAGTGATTTTTCCTTTCCTCCCCTGTCCCGCCCTGCCGATTGCTCTGTAAACTGAATAGCTTTGTCACTGTACTGAGTACAACAGTAAGAGTTTATGGTTTGGCTTTTCTACTGGAGGTGAGAAAATAATTTCTTCTGATAAACCTAGTTCAGCACTGGTTCTGGTGCTTGGCAGGCCTTTCAGTGAGCTAATTCAGCTCTCTAGCCTGGTAGAAACTACTTGCCTCTATGCTGAGCTTCCGTTTTGGCTTGTGTAGAGGCTTGACTTGGCTGAATGAAGGCTTCAGTGAGCCACAGAGCTGGGGCATGAGTAGAGGTGGGAGTGTGTTGTTAGAGCAGAGAATGAGGAGTTGTACCTTGTCCCCTTTTAATAAAAATAAATGAAATCTTACGTTTTTCACTGGCTCAGACTTTGTGTTGTTTGTAACCATGCATTAACGCTGCACCTCTTGTCTTCCTTCTGGGATACCTTGCTGCTGTGTTCTCCCCTTTTGTTAGGTAACCTTGTCTGGGATAGTTGTTCTAGACCTCTGTTATCTTTATTCTAATGTGCTCTCAACTGCTGCTGTGGTTCAATGACTTCTAGTTCCTGAACTGAACAGAATACTCAGACCTTGCAATGGGTACCCCGGCTCCCCCACCTGCCAAGGCTTTCCAAGCACTGGCCATCCCTTAATCTCAATGGACTTTGCATTTTGCTCTTGGGTGCCCTGCCAAACTGCCCAAAGTAGCTGGTGTTTCTGGTTGTTTTCTTCCCTCTGTTTATGAACTGATAGGAATGAATGGCAGGAGACTGTTCCCCTGTGTGGGCAATGTGGCCCCCAGCAGATCTCTGTAAGAGTGATTTGGGGCATCCTTTCCATGGCAGACTTACTATCTAATCCTGGTGCTAAAACATACACATTGCTGACCACGTAATCCATGGCGCATTATTTGTGACTAATCCTCAGGAAGCCAGCATTTTTGTCCACATATTACAACTAATGCCCTCCAATTTCAGCCACTGGTCTATAAAGGAAAGCTATTGACTTTTCTGACTAGACCCTGGGGTTTCTAGTTAGGTGAGCAGTGTGACGTTCTATGGACTTGGATTTGTTGGCAGCTCTTTCCTTCGGTTCAATTTGTGTTGTTGTAGAGGCTTCGTCCTCTATAAGCACACTCAGCTCTCAAATACATCTGTGTGAATCATACAGTCCATCTGCCCTTCTCTTAGTCTGTCTATGCCTGGTGCTATTGTGGTATTTCTGTCTTAGGTTGTAAGTATAAATAGATGTGTGTTTCTCTGCCTCCATGCTGGCCAGAGTGGAGCTGTTATGGGGCTGCTGTAGAACCACAATGGTGAGGCACAATCCTTGCACTAGGGCATGCTGCCTCTCAAGAGAGGAGCTCATGTTTGCCCACACCAATAGATGTGGCCACAACGTGAGAGAACAAATGTGCACAGCTGCTGGAGTATGCAGAAGAGTGGATGTTATGACTAGTTAGCATGCTACGTCTAAGAGTGGCTGGTCATTTAGGAGAGCTAGGTTATGACTGCTGCCCTTTTTGCTTTTCTTCTTTGTAATTAAGTCTATTCTTATTACCCCCTCAATTTTACAGGAAAAATCATTATGACTTAGTGTTGAAGGATAGGCTTTATGAATCTGGAGTGAGGGCATTTGAAGTATCTGTTGGGTCATAAATGCCAACAGTTACTTGTTTGCCCAGAGCCCAAGAAAATTGGTGAAATGGCTTGTGAAGAAATAGGTAGCCAGGAGGCTAAGCTGGTATATGGCAAGGGCATGCCTTATTGGTAAATATTTCTTTGCTTTAGGGTGATGCTGTGAAAAGCAGGAACTGAAGACTCAATAGTCAGAAGACTATTAAGTAGGTATTCTTTATTACAGCACCAGGCACACGGGGGATCTCTCCTCCAAACGTGTGCACCGAAGAGACATAGTTACTAGGTATTTATGCTATTTTAACATTCATATTAATTACATTTCCAATAAATGCTTATCATAGTAATGGTAGGTGCTAATGTCCTTCGATGAGAACTCATTAGTAGGTGTTAATGTCCTGCCATCCTTGGGGGACTTGAGATCATCTTGCAGCCTCCTTATCTCTGTAGTTTGCATATCTGTTCTCCCAAGGCCTAAAGGCATTATTCAGGAGTCTCTTATCTTACAATCGTCCCAATTATTCACAAAGAACCAAGACTTGTTTTGGTTGTGCAATGATTCTGACCACCTGAAGTGATAACATCCCCTACATGTTACATTTGTTACATTCACAGGTGTCAAGGAACTTCAGTGAAGGAACAGAACTGCTTTTCTGACCTATAATGAGATCTTTGTATCTGGTCAGAGGAAGAAATTATTGAAATGGTTGGAGCAACTAGCAATAAGGAACTTCCTCGGGGATTTCAAAGGCAGATAGTCATATTTTGTGTTACTTGAGGTGGAAATAATGAACTTGCCGTAGCCATCAGCTCTTTTTAAGTATTCACGAAACCATTATATCGTGACTCGACAAAAAATGTTGTACACGGATTACTTTTTGTGACAGGGTGTGAAAACATTTCCTAAGGCCCAAATACCTTTAATGGGTTGCCGTTTATGTTATATTAAACTGAAAGAGTGCGTGTGTATGAGAATAATATCCAGCTCTCAGCTTCACAAATACAGGCTTCATTAGCTCCAGAAGGATTACTGGCATGCCAGATTAATACCCAGCACAACTGTAAATCTGGCTTGTTGTTAGCACTTAGTAATAAACATATCATACTTGCTTTAGTTCTTTTATTACATAAAATATACTTAGTGGCCCATTCATTTCTTAGCCAAGTATGTCGATATGTCTGGTGAGCTTTAGCTACAGTCTGTGTTTTTCAGGCAAATTGTTCTTCTAAGGTGCACTTTAGTTGTATAACGAAAACTTACAGATTACAGGTGTTTAAAAGATAATGTTGTATGTATTAGAAGGTTAGTGCAGAAATAGATAAACAAGGTCTTTTTTTTCTTTGTTCTTACTTTTAGTCTTTTGAAAGAGTTTTAGTAGAGAACAAGCTGCATGGCCTTTCTCCAGCTCTCTCTGAAGCCATCCAGAGCATTTCTCGCTGGGAACTTGTCCAAGCTGCGCTCCCGCATGTGCTGCACTGCACTGCAACATTGCTCTCCAACCGAAACAAGCTAGGTTAGTGCACATGTGAGTTTGTTTTTCCATTACTGAAGTTATCAGTCAAAATATGACAGATTGATGTTCTGGGTGCCAACTTATTCTAAATCCTAGAATCCCAGTTTAGTTCATTCCATGGATTACCTTTCTTGATCTGTTTTAATTTATTGCAGGGTAACCTATGAGAGCTAACCCAGTGAAGTTAATGGTCTGATAAGCTAAACAGTCAAAGTAGTTCAATAATATTTTGATAGTTATTTTCTAAAGATAGTAGAACTAGCTTTAGCCAAAGCCTTACCACCTAGCAGGCATAGGTTTCTTGAAGGAATACAAGGTTTCTTTCAAGGCATGGTGCAATGCCCAATTTCAGCAGGTACTTTTAATATCTTCAGTTCCTTTTTTTTTCTTCTTTTTCTTTTTATTCAGACTAATGCATTTGCTTCTCAGCAGATAAGTCAATTGGATAATAAGGATGGGACCGGGTCCAAATCTACT